CCCTGTATGTCTAAGCGTACTGGACAGTTTTCATTTTAAGAAATAATAAATACTTATTATAATTATAATATTATAATAAACTAGGTAATGCAAAATATAGCTTAAAAAAAGGTATGTTTAATGATATCGAAGTTAATAATGGCAAATTGATTCATTATTTTATAATAATAAAATTTTTCAATTGTTAAATTTAACTATAACAGAAGCTTATTAAACATCTATTAACACATGTTCATACTGTACGCCCTTAAGAGGATTCTTCATTTTGATTTCATGAATTTAATGTGACGAAAGGTTATAACTACAAAAAAGTAATTTTGTCGGTAATACAGACGGCTAAAGGATTTTCTTAACGAAATCAACCAAAAATTTTTAATTTGTTGTATATATTTCAATTTTCCGAAGAAATGATCTTCCAATTGTTATTTCATCTCATTGTAGGTACCGCTAGATTTTTATTAGGATACTTTTTATTAAGTATATAAGAAAAATAACAAGTAATTGAGGAATTTCAGATCAATTGTGCAACATTAACTGTTTTTTAAGTTTTTATTAGCCCATTGTTGTGGACTGGTGGTAGATCAGAAAATTTGTATTGTTTTTCGCAATACTTGTAACATCGATTTTATATCGTATATTTAAAAAAAATAGCAGAAGCGCATGGAGAAATCGTGCACTTCTGATCTTCAAGAAATTATGTGTACGTTGTAATTAAATATTTATTCCATTTATTTAATGATTAATTATAATGTTACTAAATCTTCGAAATTTGATGTCTTGCACTCAACGATCCAGTACATCGTCGAAAATAAGTTTAACGAGCAAAGAGATGTGGTGGGAGATGCGGCAGATCTCGAGATCAGAAGAAACGTCGGGGAAAGCGGAAGCGAGAAAGTAAGAGTTTGTAGCCGTAAGCTGATTTCTGCAACCGTCACTTTCGTTCTCCGTTCGCAATCAATTCCACAATTCAAAGTCTATTCGAGTTTGTTTATCACACTATTTGAATTAAATGGGAGAAAAAACAAGCTGCTTATTTCGTCGAAGATGAGTAGCACATTTATTGTTATCAGTTGCTTCGAGTACTGACGTAGTAGATAATTATATCTTTTTGTGCTCCAAGTCGAGGATGGTCAACGTTTAAACCGAGTCTCTTGAAATGAGTCCATTAGATTACTTTGATCAGAATATGTTTTTGTAGAATCTACAGGAAGTATATGTTCACACGATAGTATTAAATTTTTTTTATTCTTGGGAAAAATTTTTAATATACTAAGTGTCAAAAAAGTCTGGACACGGTCGAATATTTCGATAAAGACGAATTTTACTAAAAAAGGTTTCTAAAAAAAGTTATTTGGTTCCGAGGGGGACATAAGATGGTGTCATTAATTTGACCTTGAATAGTTGTTTGAAGATCACGTGAAGGTTACCTTCAATTTTTTTAATGGAAGCCCCTACTGTTTATTATACGATCTTGTTCTACTAATTAATATGAACAACTTTTGTCTGAAACATTTTTTGATTTGCGTAATACTTTTTAAGATATTCAAGAAAAAATTGATAACTTTTTCAATATTTAGCTTATGACATCTCGATAATTGTTTGTCGGAGGGAAAAGTAGTACAGGTGAAAAAGTTAGTGCATTAACACTATCGACGCGCGACTCACGGACAGGTTTCCGTTCAACCGTAATGTATGATTGGCCTGTTTTGAACCTTTTTACCTAAAAAAAACTACTGCTCGGAACGAAAAATGGCAAATAACTTTTTAATTTATTTTTTCGACGACTTTCTTGCTATGGTATTTTGATTCGCGAATTTCAGGACACCCTGTATACACAAATTATAATTTTAATAATTTGTTATTATAAAACAATATCTTTTTATATTATTATAATAAAATTTTATTATTATAATAAAAAACAACACCTTATATTTGTAATATATCCCCTTCTTAAACTAATTTTTTTTTAAATATTGCGTCAATGAACTGATGATATAAATTTTATTTATTTTTACTACTATTTACCTCACTTATTATAATATTTATCTTTCCTTTCAACTTTTTCTTTTTATATTTATAATATATGTTACAATCGATATGAAGAGTGTAATAATATGATCTTTTACATATTACACACTACTTCCTGTGAAAACTATATTTATTTGTATTATTATGTTGATTTCACTATTAGACAATTGTCTTACATAAACTGTTCTAGACCTTTCTCCTTGTTTTCTTCTTTTACGAGAGAAAATAATATATACTCTCGAGCAATAATAATCGCACAAAGTGCAACACGTGTTCAAGGAATGTCACGCAATACTTTTAACCTCTTTTTACATAATGTTTTTTATCCAATGTAAACTTTACTGATAAAAGTAATTCTTGTCTATTCAACGACCTAAAGTTAGTAATAAATCGTACATACTGTGTACAAAAATATCCATTTTTATGTTATATGAAATAATGTTTTTTTTCTATCATATTGCAATAATATAATTATTGTAAAAAATAAAAAAGGCAAAGAGAATACAAATCTTTCATTACTTATCACTATGAGATTTATAATTATTTAATACATACTACAGATTAGAAGATCACAGCATATTTTATAATAAATATTGTTACATATGTATAAATATGTCTATTCCGTATTTACAAGACGTATGTATACATTTTTGTACATAATGATTTAAAAGCAATGATTTCGCGATTTTAGTTATATCTTTGTTGAATATAAGGATGAAAAATATGAAAAATCAGTATCAATAATTCAACTATTGCATCTAAAAAAAAATAAAAATCTTTCATTCCACATAACATTCAATTGGAGCGTTTTGTAAATTAACGATTTGTAGAACTATTATATCACTTTAGCTTTCTCTTCCGCAATTTAGCTTGTTCCTCTATGACGTTTATTTTACAAGTAACTAACAATAATTTCGACGATTTTTATTTGAAAGAAACATGTCTGATGTTGCACGAAGTAGCTCAGCAAATGTTAATAAGAATTTTCTTCATTCTCCTACGCCAATAAAAAAGAACGAATCTTCTTCAGTAAACATTAAAATAACTGCTAGTTGTAATATACAAATAATCTTAACTGAAATAAATAATATGATAATAAAAAATATTTTTTATATTTATATGAACATTATTATTAATTATTAAGTAATATTTATAAAACAATTTTATTATATCTATTGTATAACTTAAATAATAAATAATATTACTCGTTCTATGTATTACATAATATCTGGTTGCTTTTATGTGTTTTACCTCGCTTTTACCTTGCTCTTAATATTACTTCATAACTTGTTACTGAACTTTTACTTTTTAATTTATTAAAAGTCGTAGATCTCAGGTACATTATGCAAAAGGAGACATATAAAAATATTCCTGAATATAAATTCTAATAGCGTTCACCTGTACAATTTAATTCTTATATAATTTTTAAATATCAGTAATGCATTTTTCAAATATTTATTTTACAGATATTTGTTTTTTAAGCATGAGCTTAAACAAATTACAAAGTCATCTCTAGTGAGAGATTGAAGACATAGCATTTCGTGAATTAGAGTTTAATCCGTCACCCGTTAGTGTTTCTGATGTGTCAGTAGTTCCATCGAGCGTCATCAGTGTTGCCTTGACATTCCTCTCAGCTTGACCCCTGTTTTTCGAACCTGCGGTTCAGAGAAGCCACGGTTGGCGATATATAAATATCGCACTAAAATTTATTTAAGGATCGCGAGATTGCCCGAGAAGAGGATAGAATGGGTGTTCAGAGATCTACATACGATATAATTATACAATATTAAATATTTATGATATCATTTATGATTATTCTAAAATTATTTGGTGACGAATATACAATAAAGTTATGTTTAATTTATA